ACGTGCCAAGTATGGTGTCATAGGATTTCTATACTTGAACGTGCGAGCATACAGTTTTCTGAAGTTACTTCTTGTTCTACCTGAGGAGATGCAAAGTGAGAGCTGAGGGTAAAGTGGATGGTCCAAGTCAGACAAAATCCCTCCAGCAAATTTACTGAACGAAGTCAAGTGCCTATTGACAACGACGTTAACTATGTGGTCCACCGGGACACCACTCACCCTACTGACAGTCTTCAGCATTCTACGAATTGTGACATAGTCCTTTTTAGGCAAACCAGGAAAGAATAAGGGTGAACAATAAAGAAGAATAGGTAAGATGCAAGAGTTTATGAACTGTAAGAGGAGGGCTTGGTTGAGTTATACCCGAGTGTCTTAACTTCTTAATGTAAAATGTCAGGCGGAATATTTTACTGGAGATTGCTAAGACATGAGAAGACCAGGAGAGATCAGAAGAGAGAATGAGTCCAAGATACTTAATTTCTGATTTGATTCCTATATCATTGTCGTCAATCTTTCAACTATCATGAGAATCGATGACTTCTTTTAGCTGCCGTTTACATCTTAAGCTGAAATTAACAGTTTGAGATTTAGAAGGATTCAGTTTAAGATCGTTAGACCCAGACCATTTGCTGACTCCCGATAGAAAGATATTTATTTTAGCTGGGAGTTAACAGCCATTGAAACCGTCAAATCATCAGCGTAATTCACAAAGTTTATTTCATTAGAGTGAGGCGAGTACTGCAAGAAGAAAGAAAAAAGAAAAGGAGAAAGGACAGCGCCTTGGGGGACACCATCTTCAGTAGGCGATGACGTGCAAGACTTCATGTCTTCGTGTCACTGTTTCTTAATTTAAAAATAAGTCTGAAGCACTAATCATCCCTACAGCCACAACACCTACATGGTAACTCGCTGACCTCATAAAATGGGAGTGCTATAGACTCAGTGGAGTTACACCCTACTCAGACGTGAATATGTTCAGCGTTGTTTTACTCCGCATAAACACCCATTGATTAATTAACTTCACCTTCACGAATAACAAAACACATCTACCAAATCATACAGCACGATCACATGCAGACACACGTAGACTCAAATAGAAAACAGGTACGACAAGATGGATATAAATACGTGTTGAAACAACATGAAGAACATGAACTTTAACGGAAAGCAAACGTCATGTTAATTGCTCACTTGATTAACCTCATATTTCTCATAGTTTCAGACAACGGTGCCAATGCCTTAGTACCGAGACCACGGAAACACATTGAAGGAAATGCACTTTGTAGCATAGCTGAATCACTCATCATTGAACACAATTATCCAAAATGTTTTATTCTGATTGATGCCCTGAAAGTGTTCAAAAAAACGTCTCCTCATGAGGCGTCAACTACAATCATATAATGAAAGCGAAACTCTCCATATTGACACAATGAAAATTGTGATTAAAGATGGTTGTGATGAGTCACAGAATAAATTGTGGCCAAGTGAATACATGAATGAATCACGTGAGTTCCCTTCAACTCTCACTCACTCAATTGCATACCTAATCAACCATCTAACCACTTCAGACAAAATCAGAATATTCGATGAGAAGATTGAAATTGAATGTAATGAAGTGTGGGGAGCACTGCACGCATTACAGAGTATCATACAGCTGGTACACAGAAGTAAATCGGGGTCTGTAAGTCATCCATTCATATCCTGTGTTCATTCATTCATCTAGCTTGTAATATACGAACGGATTACTGAGGATGCACCACAGTTTAATCACAGAGGATTTCTCGCTGACACTGCCAAACATTTTACCAGTGTTGATGAGATTGTGAAGTTCATTGTAAGTCTCTCCTTCTTTCAATTTTACTTCATGTAATATTTCTTATTCACACTCGTTCAGGACGCTATGGCGGTTGTGAAGATGAATGTGTTTCATTGGCATATGACGGATGACAATTCATTCCCCTATGTGTCATCCGCATATCCGCGGCTTTCCTTAGAGATAGCCTATCCATCCTATTTCTTCGAATCACTTCCATCTCTCTTTATCCACAGGGTGCCTACCATCCACAGAGGTTGGTTTACGAGAATGCAGATGTTGCTCGTGTTATAGAGTATGCCCGTCTGCATGGGATACGTGTGATGGTAGAATTCGATACCCCGAGTAAGTGGCATCATTTTGAGACTGGTCACATCTCAGTATTCCAAGTGAAGCGCTAATATACTTTTTACCATTGAAGTAAAAATGATATTTTCGCTTTCCTCATAATTCCAGGTCATACAAAATCATATGAGAGAGGAGTCATCCAGAAATACGAACAGACTGTAACAATAAAGGAAATTTAGGCCCATTCAATCCTGCAAATGAGACCACATTCGAATTCCTGAAGGCGTTTTTCAAAGAAGTCACTTCAGTATTCCCAGATTTATTCATCCATCTGGGTGGTAAGGAGGTGTCATTCGATTGCTGGTAAGATTTCTCTTTATCTATTCTAAATTATTCAAGTGTTGGTTTGTAGGGATTTGATTGGTTTCAGGATTTCATCATGAGCTGACAGTAATTAGAGAACCATTGGAAAACCTGGGAGTACTGGACAGCTGTTTCGTCCTAGTTTGGGACTCTTCATCAGTACGCACTCACCACATGGGTTCTAACCCAGGACCTTTTGGTTACAAGGCGAGCTCGTATACCATTAAGCCACTGAGACCCGATCCAATGGTCCTTGAATTCTAACTTCTGCCAATTCACAACATAGCGTGACCGCTAGCCAATGTCTTCGGCGAGTATTTGTCCTCACACCCGACCGGCTGCACCCTCCTGGTCACGACTTCCCACTGGAACCCAGGTACCTACCTACCTGAATAAGGCCAGTCGCCAGTGAGCATCTTCTAAATTAAATGCTGACTATGAGATAAGATCAGTGGTACACTTGAACATATCTTTCAAGATATCCATAGTTTCCTTGACAACTAGAATAGCTATGGTTTCACGGTTGTTAACAAAGCATTTATTGAAATAATAATTTGTGATCATTTGTTTCTATCTGAGTGAGTCGAGGTTATTGTCACCAGCGGTATGGTATATTCATAAAATATACTACATGTGTATACATGACTATCACTCTTTATTAAAGAATACATAAACGAAATGATACAAGTGTGGGATAAGGTTTATCTTGTTATTGAAATAGATTCTCCATAGAGATGGAACTAGTGTACATGTTCCAATTTTGAGTGTTACCACCATTCAAATTTAAAATAAGCGCTCTCGGTATTAAATCCCTGCATTAAAAATGGTCAACATGCCCGGTTGCTTCTGAGAACGGGAAGTTGTCTGCGTAAATTGTCTATTAGTTTATTGATATTACCATTAATTATTACTCAGATTATGCCACTCACGCCTTCTAGGGTGCAGGAGGCAGGTTTATCTCTGAATTCAAGTAGTATCTTACGAATCAGTGGACTGTTAAACATGCTAAAACAATCTAAAACTCTGAGCACATCAGGGAGGCTGACTCCGATTTAAAACATCTCGACCTGAATAAGTCTTAGTCAGACCTCGGATCATGAGATTTTCTAATATAATTCAACCAATCAGAATTTCACATTCACTCGTATCACTCAGTAGAAACCACATTTTGATGAATTCACTTACATGATCTTTCAAATTCACTCTCACTTCATCAAAATCAAAACTGTTGAGCATGTTGCCCTTCAGAAGTCTCATAACATGAGCTGAACTATTACGAAACTTAACAGTCTATTTGTCAAGGATCTGTGAAACCAATGACTGTTTCCTTCCCTTTAATGCTGTCATGATATATTTCATCAGTTACTACTATTTCTCGGCTTCCGAATAGAACTGATGGCATATGTCCATCGTGATATGTTGTCTGCAACTAACTCTATGACTGCCCACAATGTTTCATTCCTCCTTAATGTGAACTCCATTGCTTCTGTTTTAAACCAACCCCATCGCTCCTTGTCCTGGTTCCAAATAAGTGCCGAACGCGCGACTTCACTCAGAGTATTTCTAGTCTACCTTCATTTAATTCTGCCTATTATTTAAGCACCAGATTTTCGTCTAATTCGCCATCAGAGTTTGTCCTGTTTTTTCGACTTTTTCTGACTACGTGATCCTCACTTAAATTCACTACTTATGATTGTCCATAAGGAATAGATTTCTGTGATTCATCAATTCTCTGAAACATGCTGATGCACTGAATTCACATTCGTGTCAAAAAATGCGAATCTTGATAAATCCTTTGATAAATTCTGTGAACCTGTCCATGGTACCAACTAGTAAAGGCCTTTCTTGCTTGCTTTCTCAACCTCGCCTAACTTGACAAAGTCCTTGTTATCGCCTGCAATCAAATCGACTTCTCCCAGAAATGTAAAATTTGTGACTTCAATGGGATTTCTGTCCTTAGTGGTGACTGGTGTATTACCTGGCTGCATATATTCGTTACACTGCATTCTTCATGTAATGTGGTTGTTTGTTGTTGTCGTCCGACATCTCACTTCCAACAGCCTTTCATCACTTCTGTCCTCGCTGTAGAAGCTTAGTTCAGTTTTCCGTTTCAAATAACTTGGTATCGTCGTATCATGATGTAACTGATGAATAACGCTCACGTAGGTTTGCAGTACTCTTATTATTGAAACAGTTTCTTCTAGACAACATGCAGAAAAACAGCGAAAGCTTCTCACTAAATCAACCGGCTCACAGGACACAACCAAATCGGAAGAGCTGTTCACATTTGCTGAAATCCATTCAGGATGTCCTTCGAGTCCACCGCTGTTAGTCACTTGTGAAAAGTATCGTAAGTTAGTAAAAACGAAACAAAACATAAGCACTACCATATGGGTTCATGTTACCATTTAAAGATGACACCCACAGTATTATGTAATTGTTGATTTAAATATTACTCACACATTCCATAAAATCGAATTAAACCCATTAGTCTCATATTCTCTAAAATTCATCAAACTATTTCCGCGTCAAATAGGAAATCGAATACTGGAATTTCGAATTTCATGAAGGAGAAACAATTCGGTAACGACTACGGGAAACTGGAATCGTATTATTTTGATCGACTAATTGAAGCTATTCAATCAGTTCAACCAGAAGGATACGCGATTACACCAGTTGTTTCGCATGAAGTATTTCAGAATGGTTATCGTGTAAGTGAATCCTTTTACCTTTTTAAAATGAAACACCCCTCGCAAATAAGTAGTATCTGTAGAGTGTCGCCCGCATCGGTCGAGCAAGTATTTATGCGAATAGTTTTATGTGTATATCTGTTCACATTGGCTGCATTAGCTGAACCAGACATGTTAAATTTGGTGGGTCCATGTGATGCAGGTGAACTTAGTATTCGTTCATGTTTCCTAAACTCAGGTTCCCAACATCAGGGTTAGTTTCTCCTCTAGTCATAGGCAGTATTCTCCAGTGTCTTGTTTCCTGGTGACCACTGCCGCATACGTCGTCAAAGTTAATTCAGAAAAGCTTCAAATTTCTTTCTCTACATGGAATAGTGTATAGTTTATGCATTCAAGACTTTGATTAATGCATATTATATTGCAATGTATACTCAGAAGAAAGATAACAACAGTCCCTGTATGGTGACATTCAACAGTCGATTCCAAGAAAAGCGTTATGAAGTAAACTCAAAAGTACAATGTTCATTTTTCTGTGAGTGAGGTCTACGTAACTGTGGTCTGTCGTCTTGAAGTCACCTTCAGGTATGTATATAACATTTGTCATCAGACCATTGGAATAAGATGAGATTGCTCAATTTCCATACTCATAACATATTGATTTATACGTGTAATAATCCCTAAAAGAACCTTTTCCTATTCAGCCGAATAAGACCACTGTAATGAACGTCTGGCAGTACAGAAATTGGCCGAATATTGTCAAATCTATAACGTCAGCTGGTTATCGAGTTATAGTTTCGGCATGTTGGCAAATCTCTCCTTCAAATCAGGCGACTCGATGGTATGATTATCATAAATGTGATATTGGAGCATTCGGAGGTGAGTAACGTGCTTGAGTATAAATATTGCCCTCTAAATTGCACACATATTGATTTCATGTTTTTCATTTGACTGATCAGAGTTTTGATTTGATTTCTGTAAGTTTCACAGTGGATACTATCAAGCGGTGAATGATACGCAATGTGGCGCTGTATATATGAAATTTCCCATGAGTATTGAATATCACACAGATAATACGCCCAGTAGATATGTTAGGTATAGTTAACTAAGAAATATGATTTCATCTACGTGAATCATTAACTAGTGGCTTCAGATTGAACTGTGTGACACTTCTTCGCTTTCATTAACGTTCACTATGGGATCGGATATAAATTGAGTTCCCAGATGAGACAGATAACGCCGATACTTTTTAATTTTCCACACACCAGCGTTAGCTGGTGTATTCTTTGTAGGAAATTGTTGGTTGGATGGTCGACTCAGTCCTTCATACACAAAAACGAAATCGCAACCCTCCTCCAGTATCTGAGCTACAGAACTTGGTAGGACTGACATTTTGGATGATGAAAAAGACTGAAAGGAAGATCATCAAATGAGATCGGATACATAGAAACTTTATGTAAGTTCCCAAAATGTGAATCTATAAAGAGAAACGATGAGGGGCAGTGAAGTAGAAACGTTTTTATAAGTAATAAGCAAGCTAAGTGCTTGGTGCTTAACCTCGGATCAATGAAATTTTAAACCCATTGTTTTCCTAATAGTGCACCTGTATCACTCTTGTATTCTGAGAGGAAAGCTATCGTATCTGACCACTTTAATGTAAATTTGTAAATTTAATTGATATTATGAAGAGAGTTTCATTGTGACAACGGTCCAACAGCCCTATCTTCAACTTCTTGAGGTTTGTACGCTTTCGGTTTTAAACCCAATCTTTGGAAGTTTCCATCAACACTTTTCAACACAACGTATGTGTTCAGAAACACTTTGTGTAGATACTGTCTCTATCACGACCGTTACCTGAAATCATTGGTATACTTACTTCTATGAATCACATTGTCATCAAATGTTTCCGCTGAATAATTTCACCAATTTTTCACCAATTTGTTGTCTCTAACCAATTAGTGAATTAGTCTTTAGTGGAATATCAGCGTTTTCAAATTTATTTAGTTTCAAAATGGGATACCTTTTTAATGAGCTGTGAGTATTTAGCCATAACCTGAAACTTTTTCGAAACCTTATCACAAATCGGTTATCACAGAACTCTGATAGTGAGTAGCTCGTACATGTTCTTTCCTTCATCAGCCTTATTTGAAATACGCCTGTATAATTAACATCCTAACATCCTACTCACAAATTTACCCTTCGTGTTTTTTTGCATAACTGCTTCAGGCACCGAAGGAGAGCAGAAATTAGTGATTGGTGGAGAAGCCGTTATATATGGAGAATATGTGGACAGTTCAAATCTCTTCACGAGCTCATGGTGAGTTGTTCTATCTACCGATTTATAAGGCGCACAGAACAACCTCAGCATTCATGTGAATAACATTTGTGATGAGTGAAGATGTTTTTCAGCTGGTGAAGTAATTTTTTACTGATGGTAGCATATAATTAAGTTTTTGGAGTGTTTTTGGGAAAAGATTTGGATTATTATTGATCGATATATTTGTGGTTGTGACTGTTTCTTACGCAGAGATTGTGTCTATAATTAACTCATGATTTGGTATTCAAATGTGATCACATTCGGTAGGTTGTCATTAGTAATGAAACCCGTCTGGATTGTCGCTTAAACGCATTTACAATTGCAATGTGTGAAATAAGGTGAATGCAATATACGTGTAGCTACGATCTGATATAAGCTTAGCATAGTTGAGCCCATCACTGTTGGCATTTGAGGGAGTGCTTAACGTCTTGTGCGACTCATCATGTTAAACATTCTTATCGCATTGACTACTTTGGTCACAGAACACTGACTAATTTTACACACACTTCTGCCATACTTTACTCATTAGCTTGAATTAGCATGAAACAGTAATCCGAAATCACTATAAGCATTCTTGTTAACCTTAACCAAACTGAAACTAGCCATGTTAATATCCATATTATGAAATATATTGGTCGAGTGGAATGCACGTATATCCAAGTCCAAGTTCGTTCGACTGCTGCAGAAGTTTTCGATTCTAGTGAGATCTGATTCGTTTGATCCATTTGAGATCATGATGATGAAGAGAGTCTGGATGAATCAGATTTTGGGGAACGAAGCTGTCGAACTTAATTAATTACATTTAGATTTGTGCAAAACACATTGGGATTTTCTTTGAAAGATACGGGGTGAGATGTTCTGACTACTGTCATGAATAGAAATACGCACACTAAGTAACCTAATAGTGGTAACTCATCAGGCAAAGCGTAAGGCATCAATCGTATTTTTGCGTTTTCTGAGTTCATCTGTACAGATCCTACACTGGTAAATATGTGAAAGTCTTTACCTTAATGGAGATTCCATTTCTATGTTAGTTGCAATGAATACCATGTGGTTATCCATCTACTCAGTCTGAATTAAACAAGAAAACAGACGTGAGTCCAAATAGCTCAGTGACTACGTCCTTGATAACTGCAGCACTGAGTGACACTCGTTCGAATCTCAGAAGAATCATGAGTTCGTCTAGGATTTCACATATGCCTTGCTGATCGGTAAGTGCCATCAAGCACGAAACCTAGGTACGAGTCTTCCTGACGACTGCCACCGACCATCCAGTATCAATAGAACTGGCTGTTGATAGAAATGGTATAGTTTGATTCGTAATATCCATATCATGATAGTCAGTTGTTAATCAATCTGAACCTTTCTACGTGAATTCTTAGAAATTTTGGAATTCAAGTCGAAAATATTTTACTTACGCCAATCACATAATTGCAAGTACTTAATCACCTTATTGCAGATTACTGACACTTTTAAAACACCTTTTTCTCATGTTATTTATTAATGCTCATTCGGCTTGAGGGTGCAGTCATAGCCGATCGCCTATGGTCATATGATCAATCCACCATTGACGAAGTGAAACCAAGATTGGCTGAACTACGTTGTCATATGAGAGAGTAAGTTCATACTTTACTGACCTCGTAAAAATATTCTCAAATTCTCTTCACTGTGTAAGCTATATTCAGTCATTTCGAAAGATTATTTGATATGATTAAATGTGTGGTAATAATTGTTAACTCTTTGATAATACTTCAAATACTGCTATTAGCGTAATGAATATTGACAGACATGACGGAAACAAGATGAAACTGATTTGAATACCATTAAATATAGGAATTCAATCCTATATCAACTGTAAAACGCGTCCTTCAAGGAGTGTTGAGTAGGGCTGTTTGTTAGTTTTGCAAACCAACTCAGTATCTGGAACGTTCATGAAACAACAGATGCTACTAACTACAAAAATTCAGCATCTGTTGTCGCTTAATATACTTGAAATCAAAGTTGACTATAAAAGGTGCCAGCGGAAATATCCAGTTCGAAGTATTCTGTTCATAAGTTTCTCCTCAGGCATGGGGACTTGAAAGTTACTAAGACACTTATTCCTGTTTGGTAGATTCATGGAAATACAGTGCTTTCAGTTGATGCATAACTGCTAGTAGTTGCTGGCTGGTTACGCTTTTGTTCAAAATAGCGTCTCTTTATGTGTGAACTAGAGGGTACGCTTCTCTATAGTTCCTGTGTATCTCCTTTCCTGCATTCATCTACCTGATTGACAATTCGATATCTGACATATTTTATCCACTCATACAAAATGTCGTGAATGTTAGTCTTCATCTAACCACGGTTTATTAGGGTGAACAATCAACTTTTAATGGCCTGTGAAATTTAAGTATTGTGAAATACATATTCTTACAGTCAACACTCATTATATCACTTTTATGAAGCAGATTTTATAAACAAACACTTGAAAATAAATAAAATTTAAGTCTGAATGGGAATCAGTTCACCTGTTATAAGAGTCAACCCTAAAAATCCAAGATTATTGCACTGCTGAAATGCTCTCGAGAACAATTCACAACATCTTTCCCTTTCTTTTGTGTATACAGCTTAGGATTCAAAGTGAAACCGATAAATGAACCGAATTGTTTACAACCATAAGAATATGTGCATTTCAATCACCTGGATGTCGACAGAACACTCATTATTTTTTTATTCAACATTTTCGATTTAATAAAATACAGTTTTAAATTGTCTTCCTTCTGTGTACAACTTGACAATGTGTTTAAACATGACTGAGGATTCTCCCCCACAACTATTAAACAACGAAATTATAAGTTAAGTGGAAGGACACAATGTTGACTTCTATCTGATTTGGAGATAGATTTCCAACATTGAGATCTGAAAGAAGGAGCATGTTCGGCATTGTTTTGTAGGAAAGTACCAGCTTGATGAATAATTTAGGTATTGTGACTCACCAAATACTTAGTAAAATTCTTTATTCTCGACAGTATTTATAAAATGTACAGAATTTTCAGAGGAGTTTACAGCATGATATTTTCACTTCGTGCAGAATCTTCAAGTAAAATATTCATTACCAAGGTACCCTGTGACACGGTGCCCTCTGAGGTGAAGAACCAACCATTCCATTGTGATGATATATCTGCTTTGTCTCCTTCCTTCAAGAAATCCACGATATGTAGCTGTGAAAGGCAACAGTAGGATGTTCAAAATGACATTCTGAGAACCAAGGAGATAGTTGAATAACGTTTATCTTATTTATAGGGACACGCTGACACCTACGAACAGGCCTTTCCTCATGTTTATTGAGAAATTTTGAATCAGATGCTTGTAAACATTTTACATACACATAAGAGTAGATAATACCAACAGAGGTCATATCTTAATCGATTAAAACAAACCGAAGGAGAGAAGCTATTTGCAACAGAGAAATGACCAAGTTGTTAGTTGCCCAAGTTTTAAGCAGGCCGCCACTTTACTCTTATTAGGAAGCAAATTCTAGTGAATGTCCTCGTTATAAAAATAACAGTAATAATAATAATTT